CAAAAAAAAAAAATATATATATATATATATATATATATTTACTATTCATTAAGTGGAAGTGACTCATCATAAAGGTCTTCATCCTTGTCATTTTCACATTGAGTAGGAGGAGAAGAAGGAAGAGAAGGGGCTTGGTCTTGCTTTCTCAGGGTGGCAAAGACAGAGGAGGAAGGGGAGGCTGGAGAGGCAAGCACACCTCATGTAACTTCTTGAAAAAAAAATCTGTGTATCAGGAGACCTCTGCGGTTCAAACCCATATTGTGCAAGGGTCAACTGTACATTGCTGGTGGGAATATAAAATGGTGCAGCCATCCTGGAAAACAGTTTGACCCTTCCTCAAAATGCTAAGCGTATAGTTATCATATGTCCCAGCCATTCAGCTCCTAGGTGTAGACCCAGGAGAAGTGTAAATGTGTTCATGCCCAAACTTCTGCACGTATGTTCGTGGCCCCAATAGTTATCACAGAAACATTGGGGGAACAGCCCCAAATGTCTATCAATTGATGAACAGATAAATAAAACATGGTTACATATCAATACAAAACAGTTATATTCCATTCCCCCCAATGAAATTTTCTTCACAATTAAAATTAATGAAGTTCTGAGAACATACTGCAATGTGCATGAACCTTGAAAACATGTCAAGTGAAAGAAAGACCTAGCTTATGACTCCATTTCTATGAAATGCCCAAGCCTGCAGATCTGTAGAGACAGTAGTTTAGCCGGGCTCAGTGACTCAGCCTGTAATCCCAGCACTGTGGGAGGCTGAGGCGAGTGGATTGCCTGCGTTCATAGGTTTGAGACCAACCCAGGCAACTTGGCAATACCTCTTCTCTACAATTAAAAAAAGGGGGGGAGGCAACCCCCTCGGGTCCTCTCCCACTCTGGGAGCTTTTCTGTACTCTCAATAAGTTCTACTTAAAAAAAAAAAAATTAGCCAGGCATGGTAGCATGTGTCTGTAGCTCCGGCTACTTGGAAGGCTGAGGTGGAAGGATCACTGGAGCCCCAGCCTGTCAACGCTGGAGTGGCCGTGGGTGTGCCACTGCACTCCAACCTGGGCGACAGAGTGAGACTCCCAACTCAAAAAAAAAAGAAAAAAGAGACAGTAGTTAAGTGGTTGCCTGGGGTTGGCATACGTGGAAATGGAAAGAGACTGCTAATAGGTTCAGGGTTTCTTTCTTTTTTTTTTTTAGTTGAGTCTCACTCTGTCACCCAAGCTGGAGTGCAGTGGCACGCTCACAGCCACCGCAGCCTTAACCTGCTGGGCTCAGGTGATCCTTCTGCCTCAGCCTTCCAAGTAGCTGGAACCACAGGCATGTGCTACCATGCCCGGCTAATTTTTTGATTTATTGTAGAGATAAGGTCTCGCATGTTGCTCAGGCTGGTCTTGAACCCCTGAGCTGAGGTAATTCTCTTGCCTCTGCCTCCCAAAGTACTGAGATTACAGGCTTGAGCCACTGTGCCCAGCCTCTTTCTTTTTTAAAATTAAGATGAGGCCGGGCTCGGTGGCTCAGCCTGTATATCCCAGCACTCTGGGAGGCCGAGGCAAGTAGATTGACTGAGCCCATGAGTTCGAGATCAGCCTGGGCAACTTGGTGAGACCTCGTCTCTACAGTAAATCAAAAAATTAGCCAGGTGTGATAGCGCACGCCTGTAGTTCTAGCTACTTGGAAGGCTGAGGTGGAAGGATTGCTGGATCCCAGCAGGTCGACGCTGGGATGCCCAGGAGCATGCCACTGCACTCTAGCCTGGGCAACAGAGTGAGATGCCAAAAAAAAAAAAAAAAATTAAGATGAGGTCTTGTTATGTTGACTAAGCTGGTCTTGAACTCCTGGCCTCAAGTGATCCTCCTGCCTTGGCCTCCCAAAATGCTGGGATTACATGTATGAGCCACGTTGAATTTTACACTTTATTTGTATAAATTTATGCAGTGCAAGTGTAATTTTGTTGCATGGATGTATTGTGTAGTGGTGAAGTCAGGGCTTTTAGGGAGTCCATCACCCGAATAACATACATTGTAGCCGTTAAGTAATTTCTCATCATCTACCCTCCACCCTTTTCCTTCCAAGTCTCCACCATCCATCATTTCACCCTTGATGTCCATGTGTGCGTGCCATTTAGCTCCTACTTATAAGTGAAAACATGCAGTATTTGTCCTTTTGTGTGAGAATTTTATACTTTATTTTTATTTATTTATTTTTTTGAGTTGGAGTCTCACTCTGTCGCCCAGACTGGAGTGCAGTGGCCGCTCCCGGCCACTGCAGCCTCGACCTGCTGGGCTCCGGCGATCCTTCCGCCTCACCCTTCCAAGTAGGGAACTACAGGCGCACACTACCACGCCCGGCTAATTTTTTATTTATTGTAGAGATGAGGTCTCACCAAGTTGCCCAGGCAGGTCACGAACCCGCAGGCTCAGGCAATCCACTCACCTCATATTTTTATTTTTAAGTTGGAGTCTCACTCTGTTGCCTAGGCTGGAGTGCAGTGTCACACTCATGACCACCACAGCCTCAACCTGCTGGGCTCAGACGATTCTTCCACCTTAGCCTTCCAAGAGGCCGGACCTACAGGTGCACACCACCAAGCCTGGCTAATTTTTTTGATTTATTGTAGAGACAAGGTCTTACCAAGTTCCCCAAGGTAGTCGTGAACCCCTGGGCTCAGGCAATCCTCTCACCTTGGCCTCCCATAGTGCTGGAATTATAGGCGTGATCCACTGCACCCAATATGAGCATTTTATACTTTAAAGAAGTGAGCCGTGTGGTATGTGAATAAATTTTTTAAAAATACAAGTTGGGCGCAGTGTCTCACACCTATAATCCCAGCACTTTGGGAGGCCAAGGTGAAAGGACTGCTTGAGCCCAGGAGTTCAAAACTAGCCTGGGCAACATAGCAAGACTTCCTCTCTACTGGAAAAAAAAAATTCAAATAATTAGCCAGATGTGGTGGCACACACCTGTAGTCCCAGCTACTCAGGATCCTGAGACAGAAGGATTGCCTGAGCCCAGGAGATTGAGGCTGTGGTGAGCCATGAATGTGTGCTGCACTCCAGCCCGGGTGATAGAGTAAGACCCTGACTCAAAAAAAAAAAAAAGAGAGACCCTTGAAGTTCACAGTCATCTAAGCCTGTCTTGTGAGTAAGGAAACCACTGAGGCCCGTGATTTAGCCACGCAGCCTGGAGTGTGCCCTCTGCCCTGTGGGGGTCTTGCCTCCATTAGCGGATGGGGTGCCGGGCTAATGCGGAATCTTCTCTCTTGGCCAGGTACTTGTATGACAAGAGGCATGAGCTGGGTCCAGGCCATCCTGCAGGCCCGAAGCCTCCCTCGGGGCTGGGGGGGCATCTGCAGGGCCGCCCTCACAGGAGCCCCCAGCTCTCAGGTAAGCACCAGCTGGGCAGTCTTTGGGGCAGGGGGAGGGAAGCCTGGATTTGCTCCCAGCCCCTTTGGAGTCCAGACAGTGAAGCTAGCTCTGGCGGGTCTGAGTTGGCCTGTCTGTGCCCATTTTAGGTCCCTCCTTTCCTTTAAGAGTTGCTAATGCCTGGGCTCAGTGGCTCAGCCTGTAATCCCAGCACTTCGGGAGACCTAGGCGAGTGGATTGCCTGAGCCCTGGTGGTTTGAGACCAGCCTGGGCAACCTGGTAAGACCTCGTCTCTACAGCAAATCAAAAATTAGCCAGGCATGGTAGTGTATACCTGTAGTTCCGGCTACTCGGAAGGCTGAGGCAGAAGGATCGCCGGAGCCCAGCTGGTTGACACTGGGGTGGCCGTGAGTGTGCCACTGCATTCCAGCCTGGGTGACAGAGTGAGATTCCAACTCAAAAAAAAAAAAAAAAGGGTAATTCTGGGCTCGATGGCTCATGCCTGTAATCCCAGCACTTTGGGAGGCCGAGGTGAGTGGATTGCCTGATCCCGCGGGTTCGAGATCCACCTAAGCAACTTGGCAAGATCTCTTCTCTACAATACATCAAAAAATTAGCCGAGTGTGGTAGCATGCACCTGTAATCCCAGGTACTTGGAAGGCTGAGGCAGAAGGTCGCCGGAGGCCAGCAGGTCGAGGCTGCGGTGGCCGGGAGCGTGCCTGCGCTCCAGCCTGGGCGACAGAGTGAGACTCCAACTCAAAAAAAAAAATTTTCATTCTAAATGAATACCTTTTTTATATATATATTTTTTGAGTTGGAGCCTCACTCTGTCACCCTGGCTGAGGTGCAGTGGCATGCTCATGGTCACCACAGCCTCGACCTGCTGGGTTCAGGTGATCCTTCTGCCTCAGCCTTCCAGGTAGGTGGACCTATAGGTGTGTGCCACCATGCCCAACTAATTTTTCTTGGTTTATTTTAGAGACGAATCTCACCAAGTTGCCCAGGCTGGTCTTGAACTCCTGGACTCAGGCAATCCTCTTGCCTCCACCTCCCAAAGTGCTGGATTCCAGGTGTGAGCCGCCGTGCCCAGCTTACCTTTTTAATTTTTCACCATCACCTTATCTAAACATGGAATGGCTGTGGGGGAGGCAGAGAGACCGAGAACACTGACTTCAATCTCAGCTCTGCAGCTTTGCAGCTGTGTGACACTGTGCATCCTGCTTCATCTCTCCAGGCCTCAGTTCCTCACCTGTAAAATAGGCACAGTCAGAGCACGCTCTCACAGGGCAGCTGTGAAGTCTCACACTTATAAACTGTTCAATGGTACCTGGAACGGAAGGCTCTTCAGTAAATATGGCTCTTGTTACATATATGTGTTTATTTATTTATTTTAGAGATGGTGGCTTGCTCTGTTGCAGGCTGCAGTGCAGTGGCATGATGACAGCTCATCACAGTCTCAAACTTCTGGGCTCAAGGGATCCTCCTACCTCAGCCTCCCGAGTATCTGGGACTACAGGTGTGGGCCATTGTACCCAGCTTATTAGCCATATATTTCTAAAGATACCTTATGTATAACCATTCTAACTAGAACATTCCATTTAAATTAAAGTAAGAAGCCGGGCTCGGTGGCTAAGCCTGTAATCCCGCGCCTTTGGGAGGCTGAGGTGAGTGAATTGCCTAAGCCCGCGGGTTCGAGACCCACTGGGCAGGCGAGACCTCATCTCTACAATAAATCAAAAAATTAGCTGGGCGTGGTAGCGCACGCCTGTAATTCTGGCTACTCGGAAAGCTGAGGAGGAAGGATTGCTGGAGCCCAGCAGGTTGAGGCTGCGGTGGCCGGGAGCGGCCACTGCACTCCAGTCTGGGCGACAGAGTGAGACTCCAACTCAAAAAAAATTTAATTAATTAATTAATTAAGTAATTAAAGTAAGAAATTTGTTACTGTACCAGCTAGAGCAGGGGTCAACAATTTTTTTTTTTGTAGTTGTTGTTTTTGAGTTGGAGTCTAACTCTATCACCCAGGCTGGAGTGCAGCAGCACGTTAACCAGGCGTGGTGGCGCATGCCTGTAGTTCCAGCTACTTAGAAGGCTGAGGTGGAAGGATCACCTGAGCCCAGTGGGCCGAGGCTGCAGTGGCCATGAGTGTGCCACTGCACTCCAACTGGGCAACAGAGTGAGACTCCTACTCCCAAAAAAAAAAAAATTAAATTAAAAAAAAAAGACTTTGGCTGGGCTCAGTGGCTCAGCCTGTAATCCCAGCACTTTGGGAGGCTGAGGCAAGTGGATTGCCTGAGCCCGTGGGTTCGAGACCAGCCTGGACAACTTAGCAAGGCCTCGTCTCTACAATAAAATAAAAAACAGCCGGGCTCGGTGGCTCAGTCTGTAATCCCGCACCTTTGGGAGGCTGAGGTGAGTGGATTGCCTGAACCCACAGGTTCGAGACCCACCTGGGCAGCGAGACCTCATCTCTACAGTAAATCAAAAAAATCAGCCGGGCTTGGTAGTGCATGCCTGTAGTTATGGCTACTTGGAAGGCTGAGGTGGAAGGATCCCCGGAGCCCAGCAGGTCAAGGCTGCGGTGGCTGGGAGTGGCCACTGCACTCCAGTCTGAGCGACAGAGACTCCGACTCAACAAAAAAACAGCCGGGCATGGTAGTGTGTGTCTGTAGTTCCAGCTACTTGGAAGGCTGAGGCGAAAGGATCGCCAGAGCCCAATAGGTCAACGCTAGGGTGTCCGTAAGCGTGGGTGTCACTGCACTCCAGCCTGAGTGAAGGAGTGAGACCTCAACTCAAAAAAAAAAAAAAAACTGTATTTAAAGGGGCCAGGCATGGTGGTCACGCCTGTAATCTTGCACTTTGGGAGGCTGAGGTGGGAGGATCACTTGAGGCTGGCCAGTAGTTCAAGGCCTGCTTGGGCAACATAATGAGATCCTATCTCTATAAAAAAATAAAAATAAATTAGCTAGGCACGGTGGTACGTGCCTGTGTTTGCAGTTACTTGGAAGATGAGGCAGGAGTATCCCTTGAACCCAGGGAGTTCTGGGCTGTGGTACGTTATGCCAATAGGGTGTCCCCAGTAAGCTCGGCATCAATATGGTGATGTCCCTGGAAAGGTGGGGGGCACCAGGTTGCCTAAGGATGATGGGTGAACTGGCCCAGGTCAGAAATAGAGGAGGTCAGAAGTCCCATGCTGATCAGTGATGAAATCATGCTTGTGAATAGCCACTGCCATGCAGCCTGGGCAACATAGCAAGACCCTGTCTCTCTTTTTATTATTTACTTATTTATTTATTTTTGAGCTGGAGTCTCACTCTGTGCCCAGGCGGAAGTGCAGTGGCACGCTCACAACCACCACAGCCTCGACCTGGGCTCAGGCGATTCTTCTGCCTCAGCCTTCTGAGTAGCTGGAACTACAGGCATGTGCCACCACGCCCGGCTAATTTTTTGGTTTATTGTAGAGATGAGGTCTCACCAGGTTATCCAGGCTGGTCTCACACCCGTGGGCTCAGGCAATCCTCTCACCTCGGCCTCCCAAAGTGCCGGGATTAGGTGTGAGCCACTGCGCCTGGCCCTCTTTTTTTAAAAGGTGTTTGTCATGATGTTGAATATTACCAAATTGCCTTTATGGTGGTTTTACCAATGCTCCCCAATGCCTCAGAGTGCCTGTTTCCTCCCTGCCACACCAGCATTGTGTTTTATCACACTTTGTAATGCTGTCAGATTTGGTGTATGTAACCCCTCCCCTCAGAGGCCCCAGGGAGGCCACTGGAACCTCTCTCAGGGAAGAGCAAGCCAGGAGCCCCACCGAAGCCCTGGGAAGTGCCAGATGCCAGCAGTGGTCCTATTTCCCTAGGTGCCTTCCCACCCCCCACGGGACCTCCACTGCAGCTCAGCCGCCCACAACACCGAACTGTCGCTGGTTCCAGGCCCTCCTGAGCCCCAGCGTAGACCCATCAGGGCCCTGGCGCCCCACGAGGAACTGTTCAAGCAGGCGCCTGGTGGGGAGCGGGACAAGGCGAGCTTCGTGCAGGCCGTGCAGAGCTTTGGGCAGTACAATGTGCACAAGCGGGGCCACGTGGACTTCATTTACCTGGCTCTGCGCAAGATGCGGGAGTATGGCGTGGAGCGCGACCTGGCGGTGTACAACCTGCTGCTCGACGTCTTCCCCAAGGAGGTCTTCCGGCCTCGCAACATCATCCAGCGTATTTTCATCCACTACCCACGGCAGCAGGAATGTGGGGTTGCTGTCCTTGAGCAGATGGAAAACCATGGTGAGGTGCCAGCTGGCAGCCCCTATCCCTTGCCTTGTCCTCTCCATGCCCCTCTGTCGTCTATTTCTTGCTTCCCTTTGATTTTTCTTTTACTTTTTAATTTAGTTAATTAAATTTTTTGCGTTGGAGTCTCACTGGAATGCATTAGCATGCTCATGGCCACATTGCAGTCTCGACCTGCTGGGCTCAGGTGATCTTTCCAACTCATCCTTCCAAGTAGCAGGGAATACAGGCATGCACCACCATGCCTGGCTAATTTTTTGATTTATTGTAGAGATTAGGTCTCACCAAGTTGCCCAGGCTGGTCTTGAACTCAGGCAATCCTCTCACCTCATCCTCCCAAAGTGTGGAGATTATAGGCATGAGTTACTGTGCCTTGCTTTTTTTTTTTGAGTTGGAGTCACACACTGTCGCCCACACTGGAGTGCTATGGCACACTCACGGCCACTCCAGCATCGACCTGCTGGGCTCTGGCTATCCTTCCGCCTCAGCCTTCCAAGTAGCCAGAATTACAGACACGCGCTACCTTGCCCAGCTAATTTTTTATCTATTGTAGAGACAAGGTCTCGCCAAGTGCCTGGGCTGTCTTGAACCCCTGGGCTCAGGCATACCACTTGCATCAGCCTCCCAATGTGCTGGGATTACAGGCTGAGCCACCGAGCCCGGCTTTTTTTTTTTTTTTTAATTAAGATGGGGGTCTTGCTATGTTGCCCAGTCTGGTCTTCCCTTCCTTCCTTTCATTTTTTGTAGAGTCGAGGTCTTGTTCTGTTGCCCAGACTGGTCTTGAACTCCTGGGCTCAAGTGATTCTCCCGCCTCCGCCCTCCCAAAGTGCTGGGATTACAGTTGTGAGCCACCACACCCAGCCTATTTTTCTGATTCTTTATTATTCTGATTCTTTTCTCCCTCTCTGCTGACTTCAGTATTCTCCATCTCCCCTCTTCCCTTCTCTCCCTTCCTGAGGCTCTGCCTATATCTGTCCCCCACAGGGGTGATGCCCAACAAGGAGACAGAGTTCCTGCTGGTTCAGATATTTGGACGCAAAAGCTACCCCATGCTCAAGTTCCTGCGCATGAAGCTGTGGTTCTCACGCTTCAAGAACATCAACCCCTTCCCTGTGCCCCGGGACCTGCCCCAGGACCCTGTGGACCTGGCCAGGCTGGGCTTGCGGCACATTGAGCCTGACCTCAGCGCCAGAGTCACCGTCTACCAGGTATCCGGTGCTGTCCATGCCGTGGGCCGCCACCCTGGGCCTTCCCTCCACCTCTGTTCCTGCAGGCTCCTTATCGCCCATGTGGGGTAACTGATGAAGTGTGAAGCGAGCTGTGGTTCCCTGACTGAGTCCTGTGGTAGATTTCCATGGACTGTCCAGCTTAGAACGGTGGGACTTCTATGTTAGTCTGTCTGGGCTGCTACCACAAAATACCTCAGATGGGGTGATTTGTGAACAACAGAAAAGTATGATTCACCGTTCACAGCTGTAAAGGTCGGCAAGTCTCAGATCAAGGTGCCACAAGACTGAGTGTCTGGTGAGGGGCCCTCTGCTTTTCTTCCTTCCTTTTTGTTTTGAGTCGGAGCCTCACTCGGTCGCCCAGACTGGAGTGCAGCGGCCGCTCCTGGCCCCCGCAGCCTTGCCTGCTGGGCTCCGGCGATCCTTCCGCCTCAGCCCTCCAAGTAGCCGGAATTGCAGGCATGCGCTACCACGCCTGGCTAATTTTTGATTTGTAGAGATGAGGTCTCGCCAAGTTGCCCAGGTGGGTCTTGAATCTACGGGCTCAGGCAATCCACTCACCTCAGCCTCCCAAAGGCGCGGGATTACAGGCTGAGCCACCAAGCCCGGCTCCTGGCCAATTTTTAAATCTTTTTGTAGAGATGAGATCTTAATATGTTGCCCAGGCTGGTCTCAAACTCCTGGGCTCAAGTGATCCTTCCATCTCTGTCCTCCCAAAGTGCTAGGATTACAGGTGTGAGCCACTGCGCCGGCCTGCTCTTTGCTTCAAAAACAGTGCCTTCTCACTATGTGCTCACATGGAGGAAGGGCAAACAAGCCCAGTCTGGCCTCTTTTTAGGGGCACTAACTGCATTCACAAGGGCAGAGCCCTCATGACCTAATCAACCCCCAAAGGCCCCACCTCTTTTTTTTTTGAGTTGGAGTCTCACTCTGTCACCCAGGCTGGGGGGCAGTGGCATGCTCCCAGCCACCCCAGCCTCGACCTGCTGAGCTCAGGCAATCCTTCCACCTCAGCCTTCCAAGTAGCTGGAACTACAGGCACGCACCACCATGTCCCGCTAGGCCCCACCTCTTAATCCTATTGCATAAGAGATAGGTTTCAAGATAGGAATTTGGGGGCCATAAACCTCCAGACCACAGCAGCCTCTGGTCTCTGCTCCCATCCCTCGCCCCGTATTCGCTGCATTCTAGGCGTCTGCCTTCCCTTCTGTCTTGGAGTGTTCTATGCCAGTTCCCACTGCAGGCCTTTGCACTTGCTGTTCCCTCTGTCAGGAACATTGTTCCCCAGGGATTTTGTGTTTTTCAGATCTCAGCTCCACCATTCCTTTCTCGTGTTGTCCCTCCTGACCACCCTGGCCAAGGCACCCTCCTATTTCCTGTGCTTGGCTTGGTTCCTTATTCACTGTGACTCAGTTTCCCCCATATCTCCCAAGGCTGGGCATAGGGTCTGGCACAAAACTGATGCTCAGCAGTGGTTTGCTGAATGACTAAGTGGAGCGATACTTCCTTCCCTAGTTGCCTGGGAGACCCCACTCATACTAGGCTGCATGGGTGATCAGAGAGAGCCCCTCACAGCACTTGTCATCTGGTCTGGAGGCCAGCCCCAGATAACAGCTTCCTGCAGAGCCACTGAGATGGAGAAGCCCAGGGCAGGTATCAGGGAGGGCTTCCTGGAGGAGGTAGGAGAGCGGAGCATTCTGGCAGAGGGAGCAATGTGTGCTGCGGAGTGAAGTGCAGGGGTAGGATGTTGGATTAGTGTTGAACCTGCTGGCTGGTGGGAAAAGAGAGATAGGGTCAGAGTCATGTTTCTAGAAGAATCTGTGGTTGAAGAAACGCCCTCTGGTGGTCATGTGGAGGATGTTGGCTAGGGAGAAGATTGAGAGGACTGAGAGGGTGGCATGGGAGGTGACTGTGGTGTCTAGGTGGGAGAGGACAGAGAATTGGCCTTAAATGTGATAGTAGATCATAGAGGAAGAGTGGTTTTAGTTCATTTCTTCATTTTGCAAAGCAGTGCATGAAAAAGCCAAATAGCCTGTCACGATAGCTCACACTTATAATCCCAATGATGCCAGGTGGGGTGCTACACAAAACCCATGGATTCTTTTGACTCATTTCTAAAATGAATCTCAGAGTGGCCAGCAAAATTTCAAATAAAGTTTGAGTTAGGTGCGGTGGCTCATATCTGTCATTCCAGCACTTTGGGAGGCAGAGGCGGGAGGATCACCTGGGCCCAGGAATTCGAGACCAGCCTGGGCCAACTTGGTGAGACCTCGTCTCTACAATAAATAAGAAAAACATTAGCTGGGCGTGGTGGTCCACCCCTGTAGTTCCAGCTACTTGGAAGGCTGAGGCAGAAGAATGGCCTGAGCCCAGTGGAGGCTGTGGTGGCCATGAGCATGCCACTGCACTCCTGCCTGGGCAATAGAGTGAGGCTGCAACTCAAAAAAAAAATTATTAGAGAAAGAAGAGAGAAAAGAAGGGGATACATGCCAGAGCTGGCATGGGCGAACCGAACTTTTGTTCTTTACAGTAGACCTGATAAACCTTCACAGTGATTGCTATGCTAAAGAGGGAGGGCCCAGGTAACCGCCACTTTGGAGAGTGACATCTCTGAGCTCCTGATGGGAGGAGAGAAGGGAAGGGGTGGTCTTTTCCTGACCACATCGTCTTTTGCAGGAGACCTGGCAGATGTTTCCATTTTACAAGTTCCTGAGCTAAAAATTGGTTTTATTCTTTCTTTCTTTTTTTTCTGAGTTGGAGTCTCATTCTGTCACCTAGCTGGAATGCAGTGGCACACTCATAGCCATCCCAGTGTCAACCTGCTGGGCTCTGGTGGTCCTTCTGCCTCAGCCTTCCAAATAGCTGGAACTACAGGCGCATGCTACCATGCCTAGCTAATTTTTTATCTGTTGTAGAGACAAGATCTCCGCCAAATTGCCTGACTGGTCTCGAACCTGTGGGCTCAAGCAATCCACTCGCCTCAGCCTCCCAAAAAGCTGGGATTACAGGCTGAGCCACCGAGCCTGGCCAAAAACTAGTCTCTTAAAAAGA